GATGCAAAATTATGCAATTTTGTAACATTTTAGTGAGGTTTACCATTCTTTGAAGATTTTGTTATCTTCAGGTTTGTGTTACACTCAGCCAAATAAAAGGAATGATGCAAATCTGATATCAGATTTCACATTCAACCTGAGTTATCTTAACCTAGCTTTGAGCAACCAGGCCCATGACAACACAACAAAAGAAAAGGAAAAATCAAGACCAATTGTTAAACCTATCCCTGGTTATATTTTCACATCCTTTCAAACAACTGGCCAAAGTAGCATCACACATGGTAGGTCAGGCATACTACATAATGCTTTATCACAACACCATCTTGCACCACTTAATAAGATGTTTGCATTTCAGGCTTACTCGCATAATGTACATCTGACCTAAATTAGTAAGCAACTTAATGAGCATAATCTACATGTATATTTTACCTCTGTGTGAAGATAATTTTTCTTGGCAACTTGTGACACATTCCTCAAAAGAAATCACCTAGCAAAACAAAAGTTAAACAGACCCAATATTTTACAAAGAATTTGTTAGATCTTATTTTTCAGGTTTCAAGTAACAGTCAACCTGTCACTGAATGCTGCTTTATTAGTCCAGTTTGGCTGACATTTACTATGATGCTCATAGTTATTGTAAATAGAGGAAGGTATTGCAAGAGTCAGTCTATTAAAATTAGTTTCCGTGAAGACTTTGACAACTCATTCATGATACCTTTACCTCCTATAGGTGTTTATCATTGGTAAGAGATTGGAAAAGGAAACTGTTAAAAAAACTGATGGTATGCATCATATAACTTCATGTATGATTATCATAATTGTGATGATGACAATGGAAATAATAATAATAATAATAATGATAATCATCATCATCATAATCATTTCAACAGCAACATGGGTAATCAACACAAACATAACTTATAGGAAGTCCCATTTAATATTGAGTTAACAACCTGTGATGCTGTGATAACTTTGCCTTAAATGATTTATTTCTATACCATGTTAATATTGCTCTTTGACATAGTTTTCTTAGGAGGAGCAAGGACTCATTTCACAGAGCCATTGATTATCAGCAAATTGTTAAGATAAGACACGTTGCAAGGGCAGGCACAATAAACTGAAAGGGTGATGACTCGTATGCAAACCAATAGTGATTAGAAACTGCGACAGAGCACAATAGTATAGCACAGAATGCATTTATGCCGGCTAAAAATTAGGAAACATTGACACGGGCCAAAAAAAGTCATGTTTCCATCCTATCCATTAATGAGGACATTAATTTAGTAACTACTACAAGTAATACGAATACAATGCAGCTGATGAAAAACACATTTCAGGCCCGTTTCAGACGTCAAACTTTACATGTGCTGAACTGAATACCAATTTGGATCGACCTAAATAACAACATTCGACAGTTGATTCAAATGTCGAACCTAGTTAACTTGAACTTAATTGAAAAAGTGAATATGACTATATTGCAGTCAGCGGTTATTGCTTACCCATATGGCGGAAAAATGCGGGAAAGACAAATTGTGGAAGTGAAGAGGTTCTTGCAAATGCGATGAAGGAGGATAGAAGAGGGCGACTCAAGATGTATTTAGAATTAAACGACCTCGCTGCCAGGAGGAAACGAGTTTTGAATTTAGCTTGCCTTCTTATATTACTCATTTCCCAAAGGAACACCACCGTTCCTCGTCCAGTTCGTACTTGTCATCGGCTACAAAGAACTACTGGCTGGTGGCATACAGAAGTAGTTCACGCACCTCAGGCATGTATATTTCGAGCTCACGGTGCAAGAGGAACACATATTTTCCGCTCTCCCTACCATTTTGTCGCAAACCAAGTTGTGTGCGCATTACAAATAAACGAAACATGCAGGACTCTGGGTTAAAATTTATTTATTTAATGTATTTGTAATAAATGCATTATATTCGGCACATGAAACGGTTTAATGTATGGAATGAAGTTGATCTTTTGCCGATCTATTCGACAAGCCCCGTTGAATAGAACGGTAGGTGGACCCAAACAAATCTGTCGAACCTAATTGTTTCAAACGTTGCGGCACTAGTAAAGTTTGATGTTCGAACCAGTGTCACAGCGGATATGGACCCCCCTTCACAGATTTGAACCCCCTTACCAAACTTTCTTTTTAAGCATTGTTTGTATCGTATTTGGTGAATAATTCTATTTGCAAGCTTTTTGTCGACGTTCTTTTCAATCACAAGACAACATTCCTTAATAAAGGTAAAAAAAAAACCGGCCATTTCCTCCCAATTCTGCCGCATTTATTATAGCGAGTCGTATACTAAACGCAAGATTTAGATGCCATTTAACAACTGCATTTGAACTATTGAAATTGTTACAATAAATATTTGCTTCTTCTGATGCAAATCAACACTGATACGAAATGTCATAACAATTGATACTAATAATAACTAATTTAGTAATAACTTAATAACTACTAATAATAACTTGTTTAGTAATTAAAATTCGTAAAACAATGGAGTTTTTCGCTCGACTTGTTATCCGGGAAGTGAAGAATCCGATGGTGTGAAACGTTGGTAACCGAAAGTTTTCATCATTTTGCATAAGTCACGACATTTCCAATTAAAGCATTCGTAACTGCGTTTTATTGAAGCATGTCTTCTTAAGAATTCAACCAGATATTGATTCTATAATTCAAGCACTTCGAATGATTTTATCTCCCTACCTTGCTGACATCTGAGACACAACGGAGATGACATGGAGACGGTGGATCTCGTTTCGATTGCGAGAGTCTGCCGTGCAGAGATGCATACTTCCCTGAAGAAAGCGTTGCTGCGTCAAGAAAATAAATGACGATTAGAAAAGCAGAAAACCTTTTGGCAATCGTCTGCAAACCATTCGACATTGCTCTCTGGACTGTGGTTACATTTTCACTGGGCATCAAGGGATATTCGTAGTGATTTAACGTCCAGCTCAGGACGATCCTTCAGTTAAGTTGACGGATGGAGTACTGTATTTGTGTATTATGGTGCACATGCTCTCACTCGGACAATCATCAGAAATAAACAAAGGTCCGTAGACAGGAAGTCGCAATAATCGACTTGCGTAATATCCATTTAAAAAAAAAGCTTCATCATATTTCGTTTTCGATCGTTTGTGACCCTTATTTTGATTTCAGGATGAACATGCCTCATGAAAATTAATCGCTAGAGAAGAACCAAAGCAATATTAAAATTTCAAGTCCTTTTGCGGCGAGAGCAGGTGGACATCAAGTTCAGTAATCAAACGTGTCAGTCTAACATGCAAATTTTTTTGCTCTGCTTTACGTGTTTTATGTTTACATATTCATGACGTCAGCCAGACCAAGTTAAGTTATCTGCTAAAATATAGGTAAAAAAAGGAAAATAATTTGGCAGATGAGAAGAAAACTTTCACTTTTTTATCGTTCTCTTCTTGAAGAAAAGGAAAGACGTAAAAAGGGGAGAAGGAAAAGAGAGCAGGAAGAAGGAGAGAAGACAGAAATAGGAAGGAAAGGTGAGGATGATTAGAGAAAATTAACTTGAAGGGTCTTTGGTACTTTTCTGTGTCTGTTTAAAATTAGTTTTGGTTTCTATAGCAGCGAAAGTTAACACTCTTAATCCACTTTGTTATACTTATTTACGTTTCCTTTAAACCTTTAAACCCTAAGAGTGACCAGCGTCCAATTTCTCCTTACAATAATACTGCTGAATAATTTTTTAATATCGTAAGAGTAAAGGAAATGATTTCCAACTTTAGAAGCTTTGGTTATTACACGAATTCTCTCTGTCAATACCAAAGGAAACGTTTAGCAAGAGTATGAAAAACATGGACACTGATTTTATGGTGTAAAGGATTAAGACGGCCACAATCCTTGTCAAAACGCTTAGGAACGCTGTTAAAAAACACGAACAAACTTCATACTTCCTCTCCTCTTTCGACATTTTTTGGCATTTCTATCTGTCTTGTCATCATCTGGGTCCATCTGACATCATGTAACATCCTTGGTTCATCAGGGGTCTACTTCAAAAGTTGTAAAGGTTTTTCCTTTAATTGATCTTCCAACAACGGGACAGAAGGTGGGGGGGGGGGGGGGGGGGGGGGGGGGGGGAGAGGTTCAACAAAAAGCAACTCGCCTCAAAAGGTCGTTTCATGCTTCAACCACACCCCTCCTAAAAGGATATAGAAAAAGGTTAAATACTAGTGGCCAACCTAATACAGCTTCATTGTTGATGAAATTTTTATTCCAAAAAGTCTTGTTACTTAATAGTCATTGACATGATAGAAATATCAACTTACTGATAAAAAAGCAATGGTTCCTGTCTGCGCTTTTACATACAGTACATAATCTGACTATTTTCAGACGCATCTTTAAAATGAAATGCGAGTTAATCTGCTTCTACAATTCTGATTTGATCATGAATGAAGGCTGAATGAAACGGAATCGCAACTATGAACCAAAACCTAACTGTTCGCATGTCAATGATAAGCGCAGAGGAATAAAAGAGAAAAAGAAAAATGACAAAAATAAAATAAAAAACGATCAAAGAACGCCTGATTCTTTCCACAAAATCATATCGACTTGCTCATGCCTCCCGTCCGAAATACAAATATCTTGTAAATAATATATAATTCTTAATCTGACTAATTTACATCCTTAACGCAAGCTTCAAATTGTACCAAACATTATTTCCTATGGTAATGTGCGTTATTTTTCAATAGCATGAAAATCATGTCACTCGCTCGCTGTTATCCTTTAATTTTACGTTTTCCTTTTTTCCTCTCACCTAAACGTTGTGTTATGATTTTCATCCCGTTATTAACATTTCACATACCCACTAACGTGATTTCCATATCCTGCTGTGAGCAAGCCCTCATAATCAGCACTGCAGGGTGCGCTACTGGGAGGGGTTTTCCGGGGGTCTGGCACTAACAATTATCAGTACAAGACTCCTTGCAGACTTGCGCTGCAGGGATCTAGCACTAGCAATTATCAGTACAAGACCCTTTGCAGACTTCTCTTTCCCGAGGTGCTGATAGATAGGGTATGCTCGCAGGTTATGATTTCCGGGGCACTGGTAACCATTCCACTCTGATTTCTACCAGATTTAGAATATTTCAAGGCTTGCATATTAGCCGAGGATAAAAAATAAACTACATCTAAATGAGACCACCATTAAATATAATATAAATAAGCTAATAAGAGATAAATATTTTAAATCCTGGAATTTAAAACGCTTAATCTTTTTTATCAAACCATTAGCTGCAGTAAGTATGTTTCCTTATCCTTTGTACCATCACGGAATATATGATTTGTCTTCTTTTCTTCTAAATGCAACACACGAGCTGTACCAGCTGAAGTATCTCACGGCTAAACTAACTACTTAACTTCCGGTAAGGTAAACTTTACAGAGATTCTTTAAGGTCAGGCAGGAGACGATAATACAAAAATAGTTAAATCAATGGCTTTTTATAGGTCACTCCTTAAGCTATTTAACCCTTTCACTCCCAAGATCCAAACAGTAATTCTCCCTAATGCCTGACACAAGTTTTCTTAAAAACTCGACACAAGAATTTGGTTTTACAGCAAGATAGCACCCCCCTACTGATAAGCTTGTTTGTTCTCATAACACTGTTTCAAGATAACGTGTTGCAGGTAAGGAAAAGTCACTCGTTGGTCAACTCTGGGAATTTAAGGGTTTAGGCCGCAGGATATACCTTTTAAATATTCTTTGTTCAGCAACAAAGGTCCTCTAATGGCAACTTAGTGAGGACTCATTCTTGTGTTGGAGGTGGGGGGTTAAGGAAAGTGAAAGTGGAAGGGGAAAAGCAATTAGGCTGCGGAAAAGGTCATACACTCCAATAATTTTGCCACAGATCTAAGCTTGCAAGATTTCAGGCATTTTCTATATTGCTAATATCTTTGGTCTGTCGTTAAGACGCTTTAAGATTTCCAAAGCATCATCGGGCCACTTGTAGCTAACTTTGGCCCAGAGTGGAAGTGGTCCTGAAGTCAAGGGCATGTCGGGTGGGGTTATACAAACCATCTTCGAAGCTGAGCGATTATGTGTGTATAGGTCTCGGAGTACTTCCAGCTCAATCCAAACGCGGTTGGTGTCCTGAAAAGACAAGGTTTCGAAATGCCGTCAGATCTACAAATTTGTGTTTATTTCAGTTTAACAGTAGCCCCTCTTTTTCAACGTAATCCATCGCGCAAGTCGAGAGTAATCATATTTTCCAGTGCTACTTGAACCCTAAGAATCGAAACGCCTCACTTCCCGGAGTACTTTCTGAACCAGGGTTTTCAGCTTACTAGAGGCAGATTTAGGTGGAGGGTCAAAGGATGTCAAAGTTCCATAGTCCTGTGAGTATTTTTATTCCTTGTCTGAAGCCAAAATTTAAAAAGAAACTCATGTTCGTATATTACTATCCAATTTGAAGTATTTAAAATGTAATTATCTTGAAATATTAACTGGCTCATTAAGGTTCGATCTGTGTTTTGTTTGGAGCTTCCTCTCCCTCCCTATCATAAGCGCAAGATGTATCACTGCTTGCAAATTTCTTTGACTTGCGCAAAGGATTACGTCGAGAAAGAGAGATTCATCGTAGTAAATAAATATTTATCATATAAACTATGGTGATATACAAGGATTTTTAACCCTGAGAAAAGCCGTAACAACACATGTGAAAAAAATAGAGAATAATACATGGGCGCGCGTAGATATGGAATTTCTCTTCGAGTGTTTAACTCGATAGCTCACGGGTGAGCGCAGCGAACGAGTGAGATGTCGAGTTGAACACGAGCAGAGAAATTCCATATCTACAAGCAACCATGTATCATTTTGTTTATCATATAAACATAATAGCCCTTTACTGAGAAGAAAAGCCGACTTCATTAATGAATGAAAATAAATGAATCGACAATCCCCGAATAACAATCGTAGAGTGCGCTGGCGCTAACTCTTAAGATGGAAAAATGCGTTGAATCCTGATTACAAAAACAACAATACAGTAAATGGTTTGAACCCGGGGGTAACATGTAATAGTGTAGTTTGATCGTCCGGGTGAGTGTAGTCCTGAGAAGGACTGTTGTCGGTAGTGGTGACTGACGTTTCGACAACCAGAGCGGAAGTCATCATCAGAGTCAAGTGAATAGTTGTTGTCAGTCAGTCGAATGTACTTAGTCTGGTTTGTATAAACTGATTGGTCAGTTTTGCCGTTATGTTTTTGGCTGTAAGACTCAAGTGGCGTAGGTCAGTCGTGATTGATCGGTCTCGATCCGTTAGTGAAGTTAGGTCGTTCTGTTCGGTTCGTTTGTAATGTTAATGTCGTGAATGAGTCGTTTGTATGGTGCCGGTAGTGGTTGACACCTGTTGAGGGGAGTCTGTTATCTTTCCAGGGTCAGTCGTTGAAAGTAGTTGGTACTGTAGGTTAGGCATTGCAAGAGTCCCAATCAATAGTTCGTAAGTCGGTGATGTTCAGCAATGTGATTGTTGACATCGCCTTTCCTCGTCGCTCGTTTGTGTTCAGTCAGTCTGGTTGCGAGGTTTCTGCCAGTCTAGCCGATGTAGGAGGCGAGGCAGTCGGAGCAATCGATCTTATATACTGCTCCCTGTCTGTTCCTTGGTGCGTCTTTGTCTTTGACGTTAGTCAGTAACTGACGTGGTGTGATAATAGGTTTGTGAGCGACGCGGATATTAAGGGGCTGTAGGATGCGCGAGATGTTCTCAGATATGCCCTTTATGTATGGTATTGTTGCTGTGGTCGTAGGAGTTGCGTTGTCGTTAGCTTTGGTAGTAGTAGGTCGGTGAGTGTTACGTTGGATGAAGTCTTCGTTGTAGTTGTTCTTTGAAAAAACACGGTCAAGGTATTTGTTTTCATCGGATAAGCTGTCTGTCGTATTGCATACTAGTTGCGCTCGTCGGGTAAGAGTCTTGATAGTTGTGGCTTTGTGTGATGTCAGGTTGTAGGATGACGCGTCCAGTAATCTGTCGATATGTGTCGGTTTCCTGAAAACTTTTGTACGTAGTGAGTTGTCGTCACGGCTTACTAGGCAGTCTAGAAACGGTAGATTACCATTTTCTTCGACCTGTCTAGTAAACTGTATGTCACGACTCTTACCGAACCACACTACTGACTGGGACTCAGTGCAATGCCTAACCTACAGCACCAACTAAAGGAAAAGTCTGTCTGTCAGAAATACGGATTTTTTAGTGTTTTAGCCGCCATAATTCGAGGAAGCTCCGACAAACAACTTGTATTGAGAGTCGTGAAGGCTTTGCCGTTCATTCATCAACCTGACCGAGTGGCACCAAAGGCGAGTGACGTGTCAGCAGATGATCGGCTATATCAACACACGTGAAAAAATACTATATTTTTCCACGTATGTTGTTACGGCTTTTCTCTAGGCCGGAAATCTCTGTATAACACCGCAGTTTATGTGTTAATATGATGTGTTTGACATCGCCAATCAGCTGCTGCTACGTCACTCGCCTTTGAGCCACTCGGCCTCGGTTGATGAATGAACGGTAAAGCCCTCACGATTTTCAATCCAAGGTAGTTTGTCAGAAGTTTCTCGGATTATGGCGGCTAAAACACTAAAAAACCCGTATCGCTCACAGACAGTGACGCTCAAACTTTCCCAGAAGGGGAAGAAAACCAATACACGAAATTATAATAAAGTTAGAATATAACGCGTGCTGTTATTGGTATTATTATTCAATATAGGAGAATTTTGTAAATTGAAAATTACGCCCATTGTTGTTTTTGTAATCATGACTCAACGCATTTTTCCATCTTGGGCCTTAGTGCTAACGCACCGTACGATTTCGATTCTTTTATGTTCACTCATTGATGAAGTCGGCTTTTCTTGTAACCAAAGGGCTATTGTGTTTCTATGATAAACAAAATAATACATGGTTGCTTGTAGATATGGAATTTCTCCTCTCGTGTTCAACTCGACATCTCACTCGTTCGCCACGCTCTCTCGTGAGCTATCGAGTTGAACACTTGAAGTGAAATTCCACATCTACGCGCGCTCATGTATTATTCTCAATGTATCATTAGTCTCTCATAGGTAAATCTTACCAAAATGTACCTCCGTGAAGCCAGGTTTTTATTTTGTTAATAAATTAAACAGCTTTTTAACATTGTAAAAGTACACCGTGATGCACGATAGAGCCCTATACGAAGGTAACGGAAGTGGGGTAAATTAAGTTCGTTTTCCCACCCACGTGTTGAAACATACTGAAATACTACAATTTGAATTTGCACACCAATGTGGAGATTTGATTAGAGGAGAAATTTACGACGCCTAATCGCCCCAGAAAAGTTAATATGGCCTCATGACAGAATTTTAACCCCCCCGCTCCTTTCGTCCTTTCGCCTAAGTTTCCAATCATCCAAGGAAACTAAAATAACGAACTCCCGTCCTAAAATCAACGGAGAAGGAATCACTGAGCGAAAAAGGAAAACTGCAGATGGCCGAGAACAAACGAGCATCCCAAAAGGAGAAGTACCATGTATTTACCTGAGACTGGAAGCCATCACACCCATCCAGAGCGAGGTTTATCAAACCAGGTGACAAGAAAACCAGCACCTTCTTAGCTTTTCTAATTTGGCTTTCTCCCCAACGCGTAGGACCCTGGGAAGTTATTTCTGTAGACACCATAACGTCCATGATAACATTATAACCGTTCTGGCGAAAGTAGTTCACAATTGAGGCCACTTCGTTTCGAAAAGCGTCACTCTCTGGATAATAACAGGTGTAGTATAGCTCTGTTAAAAAAATAGAAAAAAGGGAGAACATAATTGGTAATATTTCCTGCTTAATCTTTTTCACCATCCTGATACATGTTTTAGGCTTTAAAGAAATCCTCAGGGAGCGGCAAAAGAATCCCTTACATTCCTTGCATTTCGTGTGGCCTAAGTCTAAAATATGATCTATTTCACACATGAGAAGCTTTCAAGACTGGCTGCGGTAGCCCAAATATCGCCATTCCTAGTAAACTGAAGGTTGATGAAACATTGTAACACTCTGAGTTCAGGTGATCAGTTCGTGGACAAAAAAGCGCGGGAAATGCATGTCGCGGCTGCCATTTCGCGCACCACCGAAGCGCGCATACGAAGCGACTGGTCATCAGGTCATCGTGTATCTTTGCCTTTTGTGGTTTTAGACGACGATATGCATATTATTTTCTTAACAAGGTTATTTCTTTTGGCAGTACAAAGGAAAGGAAGCGAAAAAGATGAAAATTCTTTTCACAATGAAGAATTTGCTGGGAAGAAATCGTAAATTATGGCCATGTGTGTCTTTTGTCGTGCACAGTCTTCATGGAGGACTTTCCGGATTCCTTCGCGGGTAGATCTAAGGTTTTATCAGGTAAGGGCCTCAGAGTATGATAGAGCTTCAACTTACAGCTGTAGGTGAAAGACAGGATGGTTGTTACGTTTTGGAACAAGTAACTCAGTGTAAAATCAGAGAACCAGCGTTTGTACGATTTATCATCTCAACTGCGTAAGCTTATCTCTTTCTTAAGTAAGGGATTATCTATTGGGAAAAGCTGCAGTTGCTCGCACGAAAATACATTTTGCATAGAAGACTTGTTGAAACACACGACGAACAACCACCAAAGATTAAGGAAAAAAATAGAAAAAAAGAGGAGAGATGTTAGTGATGTTGTAATATTTGCTTCCTAGCCGCCATCTTGGAACCTTCTACGTCATAGGGTCAAACAAACGCTTCCGGAATCCCAGTAATTCATTGTTTACAAATGCACGTGTATTATCGACCTATAAACCTACATCATTATAACAATAATCTTAATCAAATATAGTTAGGAAGAATATCCACTACGAAATATCCGATAAGCCCACCTTTTTCGTCTTTTTTCTCTTCTGGTCTCGGGGGCGCTGGTGGAGGCATACGAGGGGTGCTTCCTTTAAAAATCAGGAGAAACACTAAATCAAAATTTGACCAAAAATAAATGATGGAGATGGTTAATAATAATAATAATAATAATAATAATAATAATAATAATAATAATAATAATAATAATGAGAATGATGATGTTAGTGAGAAGTTCAAATATAGAGTAATAATAATAACAACAGGCTCAGAGATCATAACCATCAAAACATGTCTATAACAACAGGTCAATACGTTGATGATACAAAGTAAACCAGCCCATTGTAACAATGAGAGTATTGAAGTCCTGAATTGGCTATCAACAGAAATATTGTTATCATTACTCAAAATTGATGTTGAAATTTTGAAATGGCCATGAGACAATGTTGAGACATACTAAGTTAAGCGTTAAGTGTAAATAGTAACAAAATAAACTAAGACACTGAAATGGAATAACCGCTCTGCTAATTATCTTATCTACACCAACAATAATTCCTGCGTACCTATATAAAGTAAATATGAACTGGTAACTGTAAACGTTATGCACTATAAGGCGTGAGGCCTATGTAAGGAAGAAAATTTTGCTCTGCCATACTCAAACTCATTACTTACATTCCACTAATAATATTTATTGAATATATTTATTGAATATATTAATATTTATGAACAACACTAACTGTGTCTGGGGGAAGATTGTGTAAGTGAGTGAGTGACACTAGAAGAATTAATCTGAATATATGTGACTTCGTATACCAATTACATCATAAGAAGTTCAGCAATTACCTCGGCATGGCCTTTTCTTGACTAGAGCAAACAACAGCAAAAGCATAACCACTCCTGCTGCTATTCCTCCTACTATAGAGCTTACAAGTTTAACTGTGTCTGTAACAACAAACCACACAAGAAAAGTTAGGTGTCTCATAAAAAACCATGAAATTAAGTGCAAATTGAAGATATTCTGCCAAATTCAGCTAATTATGAGCATGCTGAAATTTGAAAAGAGAGACCTAGGGGTCACATGTTCATTACTTATGGGGTCCAGAGGTTTACAAGAATAACGTGCTTGTAACAAATTTGGATCTAAAATATCAGCATGGCTTACCTTTTTTAGCTTCAGTAGGCATAGGAATTTTGTGTGGAGGGGCTGTAAATACACCAGAAATATTCAATATTAAGGGTAGGAATACAAAGTTCTGCTTGAAAAGCCATATATTTACATATATACTTATCCAGTTAGAATTTGCTAGGTTGTCTAAATTTACCTAAGCTGGCATTCATCATAATCATGGCAAAAACAAAGCTATCAAGATGCATGCACAATTTCATGCTAATAAAAAGAAACAAAAACGAAAAGAGGTACAATGCACTTCTACTATTCACTAATTGTTTTTTAACCTTATTCACTTTTTAAAAATTGACATATTGTGCTTCAAGACTTCCAAGCTGATAAGCAAAAAAATAGATTCTCACCATATGGAGAAAATGTTTCCAGAGATACAGAAGCTTTTTTGGAAAACGGGAAGGTCACAACCTAAAGACAGCAAACAAAAATGAGCTAGCAATTTTGCTTCTCTTATCACTCATTTTCATTATCATACTAAAATGTTACTTGGTTTTGTTAACAATGGCAAATGAAAAGAAAACCCAAGTAAAACAAAATTACTGGTATTATCAGTAGCAACAGCATTACCAATGTAACAAAATTTTAGAATCAATGACTGAGGAACAATGACTGGGTGGGTCCTTTTAAACTTCCCATCCACCCATACATTTCATGGTCATTTTGAGCAAATAACACCATGCATATTCCTAAAAACAGAAAATCTGATGAGGTGAAGAAGCTCTGATGCTAATGGAGAGTGCACATGAAAATAAAAAAATGTGAAATCATGTGGCTTTGTTTAAGATCCCTTTAAATTTCTTCAGCCAGAATACGGGAATACCTTAAATATATTTCTTCAAAGTGTATATATAGGAAGACAGAGATTGTGAGCATAAGTTATCTCTCAAAAACCAAGTGAAAACAACCTCAAGGGATAGCCTTACAACAGAAAGGTACTGCTGGGTGTTTGAAAAAGACCAAACCATATTACATGTACCTTTTTATTTGGAAAAGTTAAACATCAGCTTTGCTCCTCATATCATTCTTAATGATAATGTCACAAATTAAATAATAATACAAATTGCTAATTGATTTAGGTCATACATACAGCAGCAAAAAGATAATCAGGCTTTTCCCATTGAGCCAGTGGCACTGAATAATCTGTTTGGTTCTAAGGTTTTCAGATCATGCAAAACATATATCAATAATAAGACCTGCTAAGGTCCAGTATATCAAGATATGATACAGGGGGATTAAAAATAAACTATACTATACATAGTCCACCCTGTGGCCAAATTATGATGAGTTCCATTCTTCCCCGATCGAAACCCGTAAAAAGCAACTACATGAATTATCAATCAACATGTTTATTTTCCTAAATTGTTATGATAATCACCATGGAAAAAACATTTTTGATCAAGATGCAAATGACTATGATGACATTTATGATTACCCTATTACACACCATTGAATTAAAGTTGTTGTTAACCACTCAGGCACTGTCTTCTCAAATTGATGGGGTCATGTTAAAACCATAACCATGTTGTATACTCATGATTAATTTAACATTATCTTGCAATATGAAGCCTGTGTCTAAAGAAACTAAAATTTTCCCCTTTTGGAAAAAAACAATAAATTTGGAAACCTGACCTTTGGAATAATTTTGCACTTGGCTGTTTTGTCATCATCACATCTATCACAACGAACTTTGTAGATAAATGCATAAGCTGACCAGTTATAATCTGTCAAGAAAACAATGATTTAATTTTCTTTAGTCTGAGCAAAGAGATCTGAAATTAAGAAGTGTTTATTTAACTGAAATGTGTCTAATGTTACCAAAGTACTGAACCTCAAACTTCAACACCACATACAATAAATCAAGGTGGGAATTATTTGTTGTTCCTCGTTGTACAATTAGGGGTAATTTATAAGTAATCTTAATGCGGCAATCTTTTTCAATTAGTGTTTCCTCAAGATCTTCATTCAATGTCTTCTTTCTGGTTAATTACTAGCAACTACAGAAGCATGGCAGAACCATTTCACTACCTGTTTTGAAAGAATTCTTTTTCTCCCACACAACATCAATATCCTTTTCTTTGAATTCTACTGAACGTATCTTAACAGGAAGTGGTTTGTTTCTTGACTGTACAGCAGAGGTCATGCACTCTGTTGATAAATTTCCAAAAGAAATATACATATTTTCTAATTATCAACACATAAACAGTTATTTAATATGTGTACCTTAAGAAGTAAAAATGTTTCCACAAATCAGTTTCCATTTTAATGTGATTTAGGGAGGCACTTCTGTTACATATAGTGGAAAATTTGCTTATCCAAAAGAACCTTCATAAACCTCTTTTATAAGTTACTGTATTATAATTTTGTCAATAGTTAAAGTGCTATAGTGATGTTAATCCCTCCCTTCTCATCAAATTCTGTTTTTCCTTTCTTTTTCATAAGTTAAAGCTTAAATCAGACTTACTAAGGTATGTACCAATTTTCTGCTGACTGGCTGGTTCAAATTATTTGCAGAATGTGCACTGATTTATTGTAGTCTTTAGGTGTTGCATTTCCACCTTTCATCTTATGGCACACCAGATATGGTCTTGAAAACACTATAAACATCCTACTACATGTACATCCTAAATGTTGGATCCTTGCTTTTTTACTTCAACTTACCATTTTGGTACTCTGCACTTCTCTGTTGCCTGATGGAAGAACTATCTCTTTTTTTCCTATTTTTGTGCATTGTGTCTAAAATTGAATTTAATAGAGACACATTGGGTGGAAATAGATTTTAATTAATTTGTAGACACCCACAACAAAGGATGTTACCTACTACTGGGACACTTCAAGGTTACAAACAGAAATGTAACTTTTGAAATGAAACTTGAAACTTTTCCAAAGAGCACATCAAAACTATAAAACTCCAAACTGCCCTTTTTTGAATTTCTACACTGAACCTACAGATACCTAGTACATGTACTAAATAAACCATTAAAAAGATGACAACTGTCAATATTGCTTGATGTCTATAATTATCAGGTGACTCCCATGGGAAATGTGAAATCTACTCAGATTACCTATTTGACCCAATAACATTTCTGAGAATGCACCAAACTGAAAATTATTATTTCATGATGTAGGGCCGAAAGACTCTTGTAAATAAATTGTTTTGTAAAAGCATCTTTGCCTATCCTTGTGTATCCACTCTTACCTACTTTTAACCATGGGTGGCTTGTTCAGAACATCTTCAGGTTTGTGTTACACTTAGCCAAATAAAAGGATTGGTACTTAATTTTCTTTAAAGACTTTCAAATCTGATACCAGTTTTCACATTTATCCTGGGTTATCTTAGCCTAGCTTTAAGCAACCTGGCCCATGACAACACAACAAAAGAAAAGAAAAATCAAGACCAATTGTTAAACCCATTCCTAATTATACTTTCATAACTGTTCAAACAACTGGCCAAAGTAGAATCACACATGGTAGGTCAGGCATATTACTTTATGCTTTATTACAACACCATCTTGCACCACCTAATAAGATGTTTGCATTTCAGGCTTACCTGCAAAATGTACATCTGACTGAAATAAGTAAGCAGCTAAATGTACATAATCTACATGTATATTTTACCTCTGTGTGAAGGTAATTTTTCCTGGCATCTTGCAACACATTCCTCAAAAGAAATCACCTGGCAAAACAAAAGTTAAACAGACCCAATGTTTAACACAAATTTGTCAGATCTCTTTTTTCCCAGGTTTCAACGTTCAGTCAACCTGTCATTGAATGCTGCTTTATTAGTCCAGTTTGGCTGACATTTAATATGATGCTCATAGTTATTGTAAATAGATGAAGATATTGCATGAGTCAGTTTTTTAAAATCATTTTATGTGAAGACTTTGACAACTCATTCATGATATCTTTACCTCCTATAGATGTATATCATTGGTAAGAGATTGGAAAAAGAAACTGTTAAAAAAATGATGGTATATATTGAGCTAACAACCTGTGATGCTGCAATAACTCTGTTTTTGATGAGTTATTACTATACCAAATTAAAATTGCTGTTTAACATAGGTTTCTTGGGAGGAGCAAGGACTCATATTTCACAGAGCCACTGATTATCAGCCCAATGTTAAGATAAACAAGGGCAAGTGCAATAAACTGAATGTGTGATGACTCATATGCAGACCAAGTGATTAAAAACCACAACAGGACACAATCATATGGCACAGAGTGTATTTTATGCTGCTAAAAAGTAAGGAAATGTTGACATGGGCCATAAAAAGTCATGTTTCCATTCTATTGATTAATGAGGACATTAGAGTAGTAAGTACTATGAGTGCTAAGAATATGATGCACTTGATGAAGAACACACTTCATGCCCAGTTCAAACATTGAACCTTATTAAGTTTCCACACTCCTTTCTAGTACCTTCATCAAGGGTGATCTAAATGCTGCAACAAGAGGTCCTTCTATACGATCGCTAATTAGTTGCCTTTTTTCTCATGAGGTGTGAATAGGCGTCAGGAAGTAAGCTGCCTTCATCACAATTCAAAGGAGCATGGGCAGAGTTAATATGCCAAGCTTCCAAACAAAGGCGCTGGTGGTAACGCCGATTAGTGGTGGTAATTTTAGACTAATCCCACCCAATTGTACAGATAGGCATGTGTGCTCTGATAAAACTGACTCTTCTTTCTTGCAAAAGAAAACCGCTTTTTGATGCTCTTTCAAGCAAGTACCAAACACGTTGTCACAGTCATTGCAAGGAATAGAATAAATGGCGTCAGTTCATTGTTCTATCGTGACAGGATCCTTAGATTTGGCAAAAATATGCCCCAAAGTCTGAAAGGGTTTTTGAGCAACTTTAACACTGTGGCCATTCAAAATTCTTATGGTGGGTTCTGTAACACCCTGAATGTAAGGAATAACAGCAAAACCAGTCACTGGTTCCCTTTCATCAGGGGTGCTACTAGTTGTAACTGGTTTTTTTTAACTTCACTTTACTTTCCTGAGGTAATCTCTCTGATGATGGACAAGAAAAGAAGCTATGAAACTGAAAGGGGGTGTACAAGTTTTACATGCATCTGTCGGTACTGAAAAAGAAAAATTACGAGAAGTGGACAAACAAAACGCATTTGTTTCGCTTATTTAGTAATTTCACATACTTAGAGTTCGGCGATTAGGCCATTGTCTTATTCAACGATCAAAATAATCCACTAAATATTAGACAACAATAAAAACTTTACCTTAGAAACGAGGTCAAAAGGCGTCAAAATACCTTCTTGTCATCTTACTGCGAGCTTTACATGTAATCGTATTTACATCCTGTTTCTGTTCGAACACGGATCCTTCGCATGGTTGTACGTGGGTGTTAACTATCGAATCTAGTTTAAAGCCATACGGCTATCCTTTAAAATGTTAACACAGTTTTAAAAGTCGTAAAACAAAGGAGTTTTTCGCTAGACGTGATATGCGGGAAATGAAGAAATCAGAAGGTGTAAAACGTTGGTTACCGAAAGTTTTCTTCTCTTTGCATAGGTCACGACATTCCCAATTAAAGCATTCGTAGCTACGTTTATTGAAGCATGTCTTCTTAAGAATTCAACCAGATATTGATTCTTTAATTTAAGCACTTCGAATGATTTTTATCTCCCTACCTTGCTGACAACTGAGGCACAACGAAGATGACATGGAGACGGTGGATCTCGTTTCGATCGCAAGAGTCTACCGTGCAAAGATGCATACTTCCCTGAAGAAAGCGTTGCTGCGCCAAGAAAATAAATAACGGTTAGAAAAGCAGAAAACCTCTTGGAAATCGTCTGCAAACCATTCGGCATTGCTTTCTGGACTGTGGTTACATTTTTCACTGAGCATCAAGGGATATTCATAGTTATTTAACGTCCAGCTCAGGACGATCCTTCAGTTAAGTTGACGGATGGAGTGCTGTATTTGCGTATTATGGTGCACATGCCCTCACTCGGACAATCGTCAGAAAAGTAAACAAAGGTCTGTCGACGGGAAGTCGCAATAATCGATTTGCGTAATATCCATCACAAAAAAAATAATACCTCGTCATATTTCGTTTTCTATCGTTTGTGACCCTTATTTTGATTTCAGCTTAAATAAACATACCTCACGAAAATTATTCGCTATTCAAATTTCAAGTCCTTTTGCTGCGAGAGCAGATGGATATCAAGTTCAGTAATCATACGTGTCAGTTTAACATGCAAATCGTTTTGCTTTGCTTTACATGTTTTATTAGTTTTTCGTATTCGTGATGTCAGCCGGACCAAGTTAAGTTATCTGCTAAACAATGAGTAGAAAAAAGAAAACAATTTGGTAGACGAGAAGAAAACTTTCACTTTTTATCGTTCTCTTCTTGAAGAAAAGGAAAGACGTAAAAAGGGGAGAAGGAAAAGAGAGCAGGAAGAAGGAGAGAAGACAGAAATAGGAAGGAAAGGTGAGGATGGTTAGAGAAAATTAACTTGATGGGTCTTTGGTACTTTTCTGTTTTTGTTTAAAATTAGTTTTGGTTTCTATAGCAGCGAAAGTTGACACTCTTAATCCACTTTCCTTTAAACCTTTAAACCCTAAGAGTGACCAGCGTCCAATTTCTCCTTACAATAATACTGCTGAATAATTTTTTAACATCGTAAGAGTAAAGGAAATGATTGCCAACCTTAGAGCTTTGGTTTTTGCACGAATTCTCTCTGTCAATACCAAAGGAAACGTGTAGCAGGAGTATGGAGAGTATGGACACTGATTTTATGGTGTAAAGGATTAAGACGGCTATAGTCCTTGTCGAAACGCCGAGGAACGCTGTTAAAAAAACACAAACAAACTGCTTCATACTTCCTGTCCTCTTTCGGCATTTCATTTTCGGCATTTCATTTCCGGCATTTCTATCTGTCTTGTCATCATCTGGGTCATCTGGGTCCATCTGATATCATGTGCCATCCTTCAGGCAATATAACGATCAGTTGATCGTAAGCCTATGAGGTAGCCTTTTCCGTCTCCTCTGAGGCCACCCTTCTCTTCGTCGTTTACAAAAGAATTAGTTTCCTTCATTGCACTTGTGGGTTGGCTTCTAGATCTGGAACGTGTCAAAAGGCTGGAACTGGGAGGCATTCCAAGCCACACAACTCGTGACTATCAAGATCCCTACCCTTTGTGTTTCGGCCATGTACGCTGGTCGATAAGAACGCTGTAATTTTTGGTGGCCAACTGACGACATTGGAAATCTCTGTGTGACGACTCACTTCTGACTTGCATCTGACTCGCATGAGGTCAAACTTCCATTATATATTGTATGAAAAGGAAAGAACTGGATGTGGAACAGCTATTAGAAAACATTAACCGCGTTTATTAAGCCTGACCATGGCAGCCCGCACTCGTCAAGGAACTCTGTAGTTTTGCTTTATATGCAATGCTTTAAATGCGTGACCAGAAAATCTCATACGACTGCATGATTAGCTAGTTTAACTTCAATCAAGTCATTTGGAGCGAAACTGCAACAGAGAAACTCACACCAGCGAGCTACAAAGTTGGAGCGATTTGGAGTTACCAGTAGATACGACATAATTTTTTGAATATTTATGCTCTAAATGTATCCTTGTTGACAAAGGAAGCAATCACTGAGAGGAAAATTATCCACCTGAGTGACTAGAGGCCAAAGTTCATCGATGTATTTCAATTCTAGTTGAATGTTATGAACACGTGACTGATGCAGACTTGCCCATCCGGTATTGCTCTAGCGGAGGGCTGAAAGGAAGAGTAATATTTTAATCAGTTTCGGTATTCTTGTCTTGGAGATTCTATGAACTGCTTTGACAATGGTTCTCTCTTGTTGCCGGTTGATCAGTTTACTCGTTGCATTTAACTTGATTGGGACTGAACACGCAGAAACAAACCTAGATAGTTTGTGTCTTCGTGAAGAATTGAAATCGAGTACTTTAAGAGCAGCGACTTTGTCAACTGACACAGTCTGCTGTCGACGATGCAGGTCGATCATACAAGACCAGGAGAATCGAGGGGTAAGTACAGAAATTAAACTTTTCAATATATGGTTGGGAATTTCATGCCCAAATAAACTTTGTGTGGCCATTGGATTACTTTACTCGACGCCGGGAGTTTGATGAACAGCCTAGCTCTAATGCATCATCAATCAATATTTTAAAACCCCTCATAAAAACGTTTCGTGAATCACGTCTCAGCGAAAACTGCGGCTACCAGCTTTCTCATTTTTTTACACCAATTTCCAGTAGGTTTAAGCTAATTTACTAAATCTCAACTGATTTGTTTTAATCGTGTTTACAGTAAAATTTCCGCCATTTGATTTTCTTCTTTGAAAGGAGAGACTCCCTGAGGAAGAAGTTGTTAGGGAAATTTCACATTTTGATTTTTTTCGTTGACCCCATGTAGTGTCAATGTATACTTGTTTTCATATTTTTTTTGCCCGTTTTCGCGTCAAAGCTCCAACGTGTCTGGAGCACGTAGCGTCTTTTCAATAGTGGACAAAAATCAAAATTCAATTCCGTTATATTATCGCCATTTCATGTGTCGTCCCATTCAATAAGTCGTTTACACTTTTTTAATTGCACGTGTTGGCGTTACCAGGGTATCCATAGAAAAAAAAAACACATTATGTTAACACAAACGCACAAACAGGAAAGGGCATGGACTCGGTCAACACACTTGTGCGTCCTGTGGCTTATATATTTTTATAACAAAATACTATGCAGAGTGTAACATTTTTCAGCCTGTTGTGTTCAGATAACCCCGAAGATAAAATGACACTAGGCAGTCAACAGGCATATTGGCTGTGCGTGGCGTGACGATGTCAGCTTCGACACGTGTCGTTAAATTGCACGTGGCGCTCAATTATAAGCTTCTCTTGGTTGAGTGGTAATAGTCTGGAAGAGTATGATAATAGACGCCTTTTATATTCTAGGTAATGTAAAATTAAAAGCACATCTGAGATCTATGTTACTAAGTCCAAGATGTTTTTATGATTAATTATGCTTTTATGAAGAGATTCATTTAAGTTGAAATAAACTTCTTTTGTACCTTTTTTCTTATTTTAAATATAGATTCGTGATCTCCTTTTTCTTAGCTATCTTTGATCGTCTTGAATCATCTTTTCGACAGGGAGGGAAAAAAAATCAAAGAATGTTTCCGATGTTAGAGGTCATCTAACTGATAAGTTAACAGTTGCACATTTGTCCAATAGAATTTTTAAAGAGACATTGAGTGGCTAGTTTCTGACACAAATGCACCTTTCTTGTAGAATATTGCATTTAAAAAGTGTATCCAGCATTGCAAGCAGCAAAGGGATATAAAAGGTAAAAGGTTTAACTGTCTTTCGTGGATCGATTCGGTGATGCTAGTTAGTTTTTTTTTTTTGTTTTGTTTTTTCATTGAACAAGTTTCATCTGATAACATCATGTTGCATTTAACGTATTGGATGATCGCGGTGTGGATCAATAGATGTAATCAGAGTCCAGTAACTAACGTTTTTTTTTTGTCTTTTGACATTGTCCTTTTCTTAGATAATGAGGTCCTTGCACGATCTAAAGGAAGAGAACGACGTTCTTCCCTGCAATATGAAAGTAAGCGATGTGTTTAGAAGCTATTCATAAGTACTGTTACAAAAAAAAAAACAACTAATTTTAACCTTTTTTTTTAATCAATTAGCACCATTTGTGCGTATTTTGTTAACAATCGAACGAAATTTTTTAGCCGAGAAGTTTGTCAGCTTGTACTCGTTAGGCGTAACTTCATGGTCTCTTCGCGAGGGACGCTGGGTTGCTTTCTAATTAATTCAAATGGATCAAATGCGTGTATTGGCACCACTCAGCGACGCCCTGTCGCTCATAAGAGAGCGTTTGTTCAACTATTCAGATGGTGCTTTCAATATATATCAACAAAGGATCGGTCTGTGCTTTTTGTTATGCGTATAACGAGTTGCGGGTGTACGCTAAAAGGCCGGAGAGCAGGAGGGAAGGTTAGAAGTTGCTCGAAGTGCAATAAAGAGCAAGTCTAGTTTCTTTTAAAAGGTAACATTGATGCCTTCTTCATAAAAACAGGCTTTGTTTGTGATCATCTATATCAATGTTCGTTACCTGTGGTCTTCTTTTTTTTCGGCTTGCTGGCTAAGAAGTCAATTCCAAGTGGAAAGAACAATCCTTCTTCGCTTTCTCTAGGCTTTCATTGACTATTGAAACGTTTAGCCAAAGGAAGTCGCTGCTAAACTTGATTGGAACTTCAACTCACCATGCAACCGCAACTGCAACTCCCTTCGCCATGTTAGCTATGTACGGCCGCGCACATGTAGATATGGCAATGATGGGTTGAAATAAATAACGTAGGACAAGCGCGAGAGCTATGTGACAACAACATTACGCAAATATCGTGGAAATTACTGGAAACTCACTGCAGCGTTTCGTTATTAACATTTCATTTTCTTTCAGCGTGTCGCGGTCTGAAGGATCCTACAGCTCCTTCTCCTTGTTTGCCAGAGAAGATGAAGGTTGAATTCCGCACAATTTCGTCAGATACTTATGGTTACAACATCATTTGGGAGCCTATATCGGAATTTCTTTTTGAAGGTAACACTTGTCATGAAATTGAGACACTTTCTTTTGAATACACGTCAGACACTAAAAAGTACAAAGATGCTGCAAATGAGCTATATTTTTACAGATTTGGTCCCTTTTTCTCTGCTTTAAATGGACTTTTGTTGAATAATGATCTTCATTATTCTCCAGATCTTACAGTAAGGGGCGAAAACCAAACATAGCTTCTTATTTGGTATCATGGTGTTTTTTTTTTGTTTCAGTCCACAACAGGACGTGGACTCATTACTCGCTTATGTACGAATTTGAGAACGATCCATCGCCTGATAGAAAAGTGAATTGTCTGCTCGTACCAAAGGTTAGTGAAAATAAAAATTGTCCTGTAAGCCTCCTATATACATAGGAAACCAACTAATTGAGTATTCCATAATAATTGCTTGAAATATGAACGACAGTTCAGTTCAAGAAATTGGGATGGCACCTTCGTAGGCAAACAATGTTTTGAAAGAAAGAAAAAGGTTCCATTGTGTGTAACACCTGATTTTTAGCGGCTGCTTATGTGAAGAGTTGCTTTGTATAATTGTAAACGTATTCAAGATTTGCATGTGCCTTGCAGTAATTATAATTAATGCAAAGTGGGATGTTCCAATTTCAGAATAACACCAACTATACCCTGATATATCATTCTGCAAACTTTAAACCAGATGCTCTCCGTTATGCGGTATGTTCAATACTTTCCGTAATTAGCTTAACTAAACTGGCATTTTGATTGGCGCTTATTAATGATTGATCACTGGACAGACTTATGGATGATGTCATCATGAACAACTTTTGTCTTCTTCTTTATTGGAAAAAGATAGATTCCATGAGTTTGTTCATCAGTTGAACACAGATTAAGTCAAAATGTAATAAGAACATCCGTGATACACTCGGCTGTACTTCTCGTGCCATTTTTGATTCAAGATATTGTGACGACATCAGTGACCTATTACGAAACCAATGCGAGTTGCAATATGGAATCTATATTTTCAACTGATGTATTGACATATTTCGGGCTTGTATACATTTAAGTAAGGGTTTCTGGATGGGTGAGGTAGCCGCTTAGTCGCGGTCGAACAATTGAAGGAAAAGTAGTTAAGTGGAGACAACTGAGGGTAAGAAAAATTGGAGACAAGTTCTTTCTATTTTGACAACCCCTGTTTCCTGCTAGGCGCCAGTTCTGTCACATTCTACGTAATCTGGTTGCTGCTATGATAAACGAACATATCTCTTATTGTTCTTCGATTTCCGTCGAATGGAATAGTACAGATAATAGTTGCAAGTATTAATAATGAAAGGTTATACTACTCGAAAGGGAAGTAGGAATGTCAAGCTTAAATGAGAGGATTTCATCCCAAAGGCCTGATAATAAACTTTGTTTCGAATTTTGCTGTTACAAGTTAAGGGGAATATCAAGTTGTTAGCTATCAGTTATTTGGGAAAAAAAGCCGAACTGGTAAAAATATCTAGCTTTGTAACTGCTGGAATAATAGTTCAGTTCCATGTATTGATAATGGTTTGTAGGTTGTTTCCTATCCATTCAGAAGCACATTCTCGGGAGAAAGCGCAATCAATTTGTCAGAGTTTGATCCTCTAAGACCAAGTAAGCCTTTCTATTCCAATATTTCGTTTAACGCGCATCATGTTAAAGATGTTGATTGTAGCTGTCTGTATACATTAGACGTAGTGAGTATTTTTTCTTAAATATGGGGTTTTAATTTCAAATCCTGGAGCTGTGTCTGGTCTTTCTTTGGACAGATAAACCTCCTTGGGTTTGACCTCCTTCCCTCAGAATCAAAATTAACAGAATGTCTTGCCAGCAAAACATGTTTTTTAAACCGGGTTTAACTGAATGAAAAGCAGAAACAGGGAACTGAAAAACTGAATTTTCCATGGGATTCAAGTAGTCGCCAACTTGTATTTTCAATGTGCTAAATATTTATTCAACAAACATTGGTTTAAGCAGGCTTCATAAATAAAAAAAAAAATTGTAAGCCGTGTTAGACAAAACAGATTATCAAAAACATTCCGCGCCAAATACGACCCGGCTTTGGTTCCCCTTAATTCCCGTAATTTGTTATCAAAACACATAAACATTCCTGGGTGGGTGTCAAACGAGTATTATACGGTAAGAAGATGATGTTTCCCATTATTTATTTGTAATTTTAATTTTTTTTCTTAGCATTCATCCCAACGTTCGATCCCATATTTCCCACAGAAGGTAAGTTATTCACCCCGGATTCCTTCAAACATCAGAATAATTAACATTGATTGTAGAGCCGGTTAAGGCGAGAAATAGGTTTTTGCTAGTTTTATTAGTTTCAGAAAGGTTATTAACAAGTATAATTAAGCAGGTCTGAAATTTAAATGGCTTGTATCCTCTGCAGGACAACATTCCTGTTCTTACCAACGGAAATTTGAATTTCCTGAATTGTTTCCTTATTGTTTTGTTTTCGTTAAGGAACTGAGAAGTCTTCAGCCTTGGCATGGCCTATCATAGGGGGGGCCTTCGCAGGCCTGGTACTTATTTTTGCAATGATGTGGGCCTTTATGTGGCGAAAGAAAACATTGCGACCGTTCTATCGTCGAGGTAATATTGTTACGGGGTTTCATTTTTCTTTAGTTCGAGTTCATTGAAATGTTATTTACTAAAGCGTTTTAATTTGTCCAATAGATTCTCAACTGCAAGAAATTAATCCCAAAACAGACATCAATGGAGGTGAAGTGACTGCGTTTGCAAATTGAAATTTTTTTCATGTTCGTTTGTTAAATGTTATTTACTTTGAAGTTTTTAACTATTCTCACAGATCTTCATCTGCCTGAAGTTTATACCAGAGAAAACATCAGCAGAGGTGATATATCTGCAGTTGAAAATTGCTTTTTTTTCACTTTGTATTTGTAAAATGTTATTAACTTAAAATTCCTCAACTTTTCCGACAGATCCCCAACTGCAGGAAGTTATTACCAAGGCAAACATAGCTAGAGGTATTGATTATGTCTGTATTTGAAAATGAAATTTTTGTTACCGTGTTTTTGTTGAAATGTTATTGACTTAAAAATCTTCAACTTTTCATATAGATCCGCAGCTGTCAGAAGTTATTACCAAGACAAACAACACTGGAGGTAAAATGAATGCATTTGAAAACTGTGGTTTTGTTAAACAATTTCGTCATGAATATGGAAGCGATCCTCACCGTTATGAACTGCTTAAGCAGTAGTAAGCCTGAAAAAAATTCAGGCCTTTACGATATTTGAACCTATGACCTCTGCGACACGGTGCAGCGCTCTACCAACTGAGCTAACGAGCCAACTGGAAGCTGGTTACTACTTCTTAAGTAGCGTTCATAAATGCGAAGATCGCTTCCATATTTACTTCCTTATCTGCAGATCACATTTATGATTTTCATATATTTACAGTCACAACTTCGATAGTTAAGGAGTCGGTTTTTCCATAAGTGATAACGTTGGGTTTCACTTTGCTTTATAGAACTGTACTACAGTTGTTACTACCCAGAGAATGAGAGTTTTCGTACCCAAGTGGCCTCAATTGTAAACTCCTTCCGGAAACAAGGATACAACGTCATAATGGACGCCATGGTAACAAACGAAATTAGCTCCCAGGGCCCACCGCGATGGGCAGAAAATCAGATTAAGAGAGCCAAGAAAGTGCTAGTTTTCTTATCTCCTGGTCTTTTGGAACTAGCTTCAAGTGATGGACGTGAGATAGAAAATTCGCAGGTTAGGAGCACATTTCAAATGTATCGCCATAACGATATGCATTGATTTTTGTTGTTGTTAACCAGTGCTCATCATCGGGTGACATAAAGACAGACGAAAGTTCGAACATAGTAAACGAACGAAAGAGAAAAGGGTACTTGGGAGACAAACAAATTAATTTAACGAGAAGGAATCATGCATGCAATCTTTAAAGGAAAGAAAAACTACAGAATTGTTTAAAGTAATTAGTGAGAGTAAACAAGGTAACACGGCTATGAGAAAAAACGTGGTAAACACAAGTGGTTTTAGTCCATTTAGCTGTCCTTGAAACAATTAAAGGCGATTTTTTTTCCGAATTTATTTTTAAACGGTCAATAGTAAAGGTGTATTTTCTTTCACGTGTTCCGGTTTCATTTTTGAGCAAGTGCTTTTATGCCTGCTTGTCGACTTTCCCAACTTCCTTTTGCTATAACTTGTCACAGGTAACGTAATCAAAGAAAAGAGAAAGAAAGAAAGAGAAACGGAAAACATAAGACAATTCATTCATCAGTTATAAAGCAATAGACTCCACTACATAATAAAGAACCATTTTCTTTTCTATTAAAATCTCTTCTCCGAGCTAGGTTCATTGCAGTAGTTCTGACAGACCGACTGTAGGCAACTTCACGACACAAAGTTGATGAGTTTTCTATGACAAAGCTTTTAGAATCTCCGCACGCGAAACAGAAAGTTTTTGAGGTTCGAATCCATGTAAAAACACCTCAAATGTTTGTATTTTCCTTCAGTTGTTTGTGACCAATGTCTAATCATATTTCTTGGTATCAAGCGAAGTTTGATTATGAGCATTGAATTTGCTTTTCGGTTTTGAAGATTAAGAAGATATCTGAAACATGCTGGGATTCTCCTTTACCCCTCGGCCTTTTTTTCCTCCGGAATTTTCATTTACGACTAAACTTTTGTTGTGCCAAGAAAAAAGCACAACGTTTCGGTATCGCCATGGTTGATATTATTGTCGAGAGAAAGTATAGAAACATTTTTCTAAACATGCTTTAAACCTTAACGAAATAATTTTGTTTTTCATTGTTAAAGTACCCTTCCTTGTTGACCTAATATCGTTTTCATCGGCCAGACTTCAAATCGGAAATATGTTTTTATAATTCTGAAGGCCGTTATAGTTTCTTGTTTAATCTCTTCTCCAGGATATCAACCGTGTGTGGATTGAGTTGGAGGTTCTTCGAGATATTTACTCTCAAAACCGCTCAGCTTCAAAAATGGTGTGCATTGCTCTCCCAGATATGCCAGTCTCGTCTAAAGACTCTCCTGTCTGGCTGAAAGTGAGCTACAGGTGGCCAGTGGAATTCACCGAGATCCTGAAGCGATTAAACGACAGGCCATCGATCAAACCAGCGTAAATTATGTGTTGAGTTGCTATACAAACGTTACGACAGCCTTGTTTTTAAACATTTGTCCAGAGCCAGTTACAATCGGATAAAGAACGGCTGTGTCCGGAGGATCTTGATCTTCCCGATCATCTAGGTTTTAAGTGATCATCTGGGTGGTGTTTCCTTGAGATCCCTTAGATCTTTTGAATTTTTTTCCCTATAAGGTTGTAACGATCCGGTTAGGTATCTAGAAACTCCACGCTTTAATTAATCGCTTCTGCTTTCTTATGTAGGGTACGCAAATAGTTATTTGTAGGAGAAGGTATATTTCTGAGAATTGTTCGTGCATTGGTTTACACAAGTTTATGTCAAAATCGATGTTTGGAAGGGAGAGGCTACATTGCGAGTAAAAGTATTAACGGCAATAATCTCGTAGTGAAACTAATCATTTTATGTAAATTAATTCATATTTCATTTATAGTCTTCGAAAAAATTTTTTTTATCCAAACGGAACTTAAATCCTAATATTAAAATGACGAAGGGTCAATGTCAACAAGAAAGAAGCGGTTTACGAGTTTCTTTGAGAAAACCTGAACTTTATATTTATACATAATTTTTCAATCTTGTGACACTATCTAAGAAATAATTTCCATATGTCCTCGATGATAAGGATATAAACGTAAATCGTTGATCGCTAATTTATTTCTTATTTAATTGATGGTCACAATTTCTATTTTTGTTAGACGAACGAGGGTTGAGTACATTGAGACTTTCTATGATGGTTTAGGATGAAGGAGTTGCTCAATCAACGTCATTTTACACTATTGAATTGTTTCCCTTTGTCGATTTTTTTTCTTCTCTTCCTGATCATCTTTTGAACGATCACAAGTAAATAGCCAAGGGAGGCTGGAGGCTTTTTTCAATAGGATGCCTAATTTTTATAAGAAAAAGTGTTATTCATAGCCAAGCAAACCTGACTTCACCACGTATGCCTGTAGGACTCTATACGGACATTTAAAAGAAAGCATGCTGCCAACACTCTTTCAATTAGGCAGTGGCTTCTTGATTTCATGGTAACTTTTAAAAACGGCAATAGATGGGTCTTTCATTTATAATGCAAACTCCAATTACCTGTAACTTGACTCAGGAAGTTGTGTTGATGACATATTTATTTACAAGGGAAGTCGACATTGTTACCTTGATTTTACTAAGGCAGGCTGTTGTCTAGACTGATCCAAAAAGCTCTTTTTACCCCAACATATCCTGAAAGTATTTTGGTTAAATCATCGAACGACTTGAAAGATAAAAAAGCAGGTGAAATTGAGAAAAACAAAACAAAACAAAACAAAAACAGAGCGAACAAAGAGACATGCAACGGAAACGCCTGAAAAGGTTGCCAAGCTCTACGATTTACGTCACAGGATCCGTATGTCTCCCTTGCGTTACCAAGAGGGCTTTCGAACTGGACCAGTTTTGCCAAATCGTGATTTGAAACTATGACTTAAAATATTAAAAATAACAGCAGCGAAAGGGAATTTGTTTTTCAATTCGATTTCCTAAAATTTACAACCAGCATAGGTGCTTGGCGAGAAATGGAGTTATGAAATTCATTCCCAGTGCGGGTTTTTGAAAAACATATTGAGGGATAATCACTTAATAAATGGGCCTTAAAATTCTTTCAAATAAGAACTAATTCTGCTTGACTTTAAAAGCTCTGAGTAAATATCGATGTACTGTTAAATAAAGTTTGTTCACCTGTCTACCTATTTCTTTCCAAAAATAGCACGCACGTGTGCGTGACCCCGTACCGAGCAGTATTTAGTTATATGCTCATTTGAATGACGAGGTTACACGCTCCGAGCATCTCTCTCGCTTTTGCCATAAAACATGGCGGACTTCCTAGCAACGTGAGATGTACCTTTCTTGTTACCAAACAGTGTAAAAGTGAATTTATCGCAGATATTAGATCGTAGTCAAGAATGAGTTTGATACGCGCTTTTGTTATAAGCTTTGTATTCATGCTCGTGGCGCAAGGCTCACTAGAAGCGGGTCAGTTGTTCGCTCCCCGCGATACGATCGGAAGCGACCCAAAAACCGAAGACAGAACTATAAACAACCGCCTGGCGATTTGTGAGTCTCGATGCAGATCTGAGAGGCAAGACACACTACATTTCCAAAAGGTTTGTAACAATACTATTGCTAGAGTATGTTTTGGTTAGTGGTAGTACCATGTGGCAATTGCTCATTACGCTTTTTCCCCTGTCCAGACAAAACATCGAAGAAATGCGTTTGTATCAAGGCGTAGAGGTGCTAAAAACAACCCGTTATGAAGGCGGGAACTAATGGAAGTTGTAATAGCTTCTCCGGACTAGGCTCGGACCTCTCTACAGCTTTACTGATCAAAACATTTTCAGCGACGGGTTGTGCATTGTTTTTCGAGCAGTGTTGCAGGAAGTCATAAATTTTTGAAACGTTCAACCAAGGATGTTACGATTCCTTTTAAATTATTAGCTATTTTTACCGCCCCGTTCCCTCCCTAGCCTTTCATCTCTAATTAAAATGATTCCAGGTGAGGATTAGATGGGAGGAAACGTACAGTGTGGCTTTCGCATAGTTTACTTTTGCAATAATTACAAGTCGCACACAATAAATATAGTTAGTTCGCACGAATTCAACTCATTCCCACGTGAAATATCACTCTTCAAAGTTGGAAACAAGGCTTTAGGCAAGGCGATATTGATGTAGACTTGCCAAATATTGCCATCAATTAAAAATGTTATTAGAAAACAGAACAGGTGCGCTTCAGCGTAATGTTTGCTTCAAACCCTGAAGGCGAATGGCTGCTCTCATTCGATCGAGAAACAAACATTGTACCTGTTAGTTTAATTTAAAAATACTATGGGTACAGTTCCTTGGCCAATATTAAGAGAAAGTATCACATTTCCTTGCGTTAAAAGTATGCAACAGCATGTTTAATTCTGCAATTTCTTGTGGGGTTTTTAAAAACAGAATTGGTTTCATTGTTGCCATAGGAGTTTACATGGATAATCCATTCTAATGATTGATATTATAGCTGCTATTTCATTCTCTCCCAATTCACAATTTAAAATAGTTGCTTTCAAACAAAGACTTTTCTGAAGACATCGTCATCGACTGATAATGTATATGCATAGTATTGTTGTAGTATTGCAGTTTTGCAATTGCAAAGTATCAAGTAGCTTTGAAGTGGGTAGCATGTATTATTGTAAACAGAATAGGAATTGTATGTGTGTTTTAAACAATCAAAGATCGTAAAATAGCGACAAAAAAAGTTGGTCTCATGCCCAGAAAAATTTTGCAGGAGAAAATATCATAGTATTATAATTAATTTTGTCTCAACCAAAGTTAAATGATTAGGTGGTTACTCAAATCTTGCATTCAGAGCCCCTTTGTGGTAACTGCTTCAAATTTTGGCATTGTCTCTGAAAAAGTTTCTTGGTCTGTGCTCCAGAATGGATTATAAACCATTGAGCCAATTGTCTCTGACTCAAACATCTTAGACTCTCCTTACTGATTGCCAAACATGTCTCGGTTGGCTTTTAATGAAAATTTCATGATGTCTCAAGACATTTAAAGTACAGAGTATCCCCTCTCTGATGATTTTGTAAATTCTCCGTACCTGTTTACGAGGAAGTGAACAAGAATTGTATACTTAGGATAATTTCTATGGTAATCATTCTTGGGAGTCTGGGTTAAAATGGTAACTGTAATCGTATGTTTGAAAGTTTTTTATAAATACATGAGTTACTCTATTGTTTGTTTTTCCTGTATATTTCACCAACGTTTCTGCCTTTTTCATTTTAGAGAGCTCCTCAGCTGTCTCAGTTGTGCCTCAG